GTGAAAATGTAAAATTATAGCATAATTCTGATAATAAAACATATATTTATACATATATGCTGCCATATTAATAATGAATGGAAGCTAGGGATGTACTTTTAGAGTGCTAACCGCAGGAAGCCCTGGGTTTGATTCCCAACAACACATTAGCCAGACGTGGCCTGTAATCTCAGCACTTCATACTTGGGAGATAGAGAGTCAGAAGTCTGAGGCCAGCTTAGGGACATGAGGCCAAAGATATTTAGGGAGTGGAAAATTCTCTTGTTAAAAAAGATTCGAAAAAGATACAACAAATGATATAATTATTCATTCCAGGATGGTTGCAACTGTTGGATATCTTTCTCTATTTTAAAACATTGCTTGGATCTAGAAACTACTTTCTCACTGTTTTTCTCACATGGACAAACCCCTTGATTTTAAATATATAGAAGCTGAAATCTCTGGTATATATAACAGCATTTATCTGGCAGCTCATTACAGCATTTTTGCCTCCTGGTGATGGCCAGTCTCCACTACTGCAGCCTTCCTCTGTGTTTAAGGAATGTTCAGATGGTCAGATTCAGTCGTGGTGTGAGGAAATGACTAGCAGATGTTCCCGAATAGTTCAGCTTTGGTCTGTAATTGGTCTCCTGTGCAAAATTATCAAAATCTTCATCAAGGTAGAGTGATAAGCTGGAGCCAACTTTGCTGCTCTCTTCTTGGTGGTCAGTGACAGGTTGTCCTCACTGTTGACCTTTCCAATCAGCTGCAGAAGAAACAATTCCATCCAGTGGGGGGTTTGTCTGCTCAGTTGTTTTACTATGATCAGACATATTAAGAACTCGTGTTTCTCTGTAAATGTAGTTTAAAATTTAGCTGAATTTTAGCTACCTGGAATAATTTAAAAAATTCAAGGCCTGCTGGACTTTCAGAGACATGGTAGGTGGTGGGTAATAGGTTCTTCTACCATGAGACAAGTGACCCATCCAGGTGCCAAACAGTAACTGAGCCCCCGAGCCTTTTGGAGAGAAACCTGAGCTTAAAGATAACTTGGGCAGACATGGGGTGTGGGTTTTCTGGACCAAAATTGCCTTCCTTTCCTACCATCAGCCTGGGCTTTCTTAGATGATAAATTCTTTTCTTTGTCATCCAAACAATCAGAAGGCCTGCTAGCAGTCATTACCATGCAGACAAGCTTTGTGAACTGTCTTGGTGATGGCAGTGAACTTAGGAGCAGGAGTGGTTCCCTGTTCAATCTTCATGTCATATACCAGCACAAAAAGCATGCAGCCAATCACAGTGCTCACATCACCCCAATGTTTGCCCTACTGTCCAAAAGAATGACACCTGTTCTTACACACAGGACCCTGTCTTGGTCATGTGCTTCCCAGTCTTCAGTGGCCTTGCAGGCTATCTCACTCAAAAGTATTGTCATCATCTTCCTATCATCCTGTTCCTCCCAGGTCTGCAGTGGGTAGAGTGCACTTTCTGTGCTGGGGGCGGGGGTCGGGGGCAGATAGAGAGAAAGGAGGAGATGGGGGAGGGAGAGAGAGAGAGCCTTCTTTCTGTACCTCTTCCTTGTCCCTTGGTGGATCTTTTCAGGGAGGAACCAGGGGATGAGTAAGAGTGCAGACCATGGATGATCAACCTCTGTCCTAATCCAGTTTATCTCTGCCTTTGTCTCAAAGTTGTATGCAACTGTCTTCTTGCTAAATTCTGGCTTTACAAGGAAGGAATACTGGTGTGCTGTTGTGTGACTAAAATAAGGACAGTCACCACCTAAACTCTGTTGGGTGAACAGAGCATACTATGTGCTAGAAGAGTAAGTTTTCTTTTGGGTTGCTACCACTAGAGACCTTCGATGGAGGTACTTTGGAGGAATGAACACTGCTTACACTATTAGGATTTTGGGGAGGGTGAGAAGAAGGCTTTATCTTAAGCGTCAGGTAGGAAGAATGCATTTCTGGGTGGAGTAGATGCAGCATGAGTATGTAAGTCTCTTCAGTTTCTTTTTTGACCTTTGTGCCTGAGGATCCAAAGTAGAGAAAATAATTTACAAGGTTCAGTTCCAGAAATCGGGATGAATTATGAGAGATTTGTGCAGGAGAGAAGTGGCATTACTGTTTGACTTGGTTGGTTATCCCAGTTTTTCTCATGGATAACTGCTTGGGGAGAAGTGAGAGGAACTTAGTCACTCTGATGAAAGGGAGGAAGGTGTGTGTGTGTGTGTGTGTGTGTGTGTGTGTGTGTGTGTG